ATATCCATTCACTGCAATGTTTAATTACTTTTTTACTTTTTAAAACACGATTTAAATTGAAAAAACATTCGGGATAGGTTCGAGGAATTTGGGATGGGTCGAGAGCGTGGAAAATTTTTCTATCCATACTCCATCTACTAAGTTAATTGTTGGGATTTTTATCCTAATGTGTGATTATAGTCACCAAAAATTCAAACACGACAGTAAAGAATACAGTGTAGAAAAATAAAGAACACCATAAATTGTTCACCCAGTTCGACCAAGCCTGATTTGGGGGGCTCAGAGGTAAAAATCGAGCTCGTCACTATGCAAAAACCACCCAAGAAAGAGCAAAAGTTTGATTACAAGATTCAGATCTCAACTAAAAATATCTACATATCATTGCTCTAACAAAGACCTCACAAAATCATCTCCTAACCAACGCCTAACCTGGACTCAAGAATAGCATCTATTTTACAATTTAAAAACCCGATTAAATGGGCCAAAGTCTACTGTTGGAAAAACTTAAACTACCGACAGTACCAAAGACTATAAACCACCAGATCATCGGCCACAAAATACAGGCCAAAAACAGATAATCACGTCGAAAAAGGAAACCAAAATGATCTGAAGTAATTACTGGACCAAGAGATCAGAATCGTCACAGAGAGAAGAAGAAGAAAAATGCCAAGTGAAGAATGATTCAGTCTCTCTCTCAAAACCGGGCCAAACAATATTAAAAGTGGATCTAAATCTTGGCCATTCAATTTTAATCAACAGCTCAAAATAATGCAAAGAAACACAAGTCCAAGTGATGAGAAAACGGCTAATAGGAGACTGCCACGTGGACGGTCAGTAAGAAAACGTTTTATCACTTGAAGAATCGGATTTTGTGGTTTTGAAAACACTTTTATAATCTTCACCTTGTTTTCACAAACCCCTAGCTCTCTCTAGTTGTTACAATGTATGTGACGATAATTCTTTATCCTACATCATCGCCCAAATTACCTGCAAAATAAATTAGCCCGTATCAATATGTAGTAAAGATAAACAATTCAGAATTTTAGTGCCCATATTAGGCGGGTTCACATTGGTATGATTTTTTTCAAGTATAACTTCACCACAAGCAATTTTTTCACGTATGAAATGGTACTTCACCTCAATATGTTTAGATCTTTCATGATAAACCGGATTTTTACATAATAGTCAACCACTTTGACTGTCAGTGAAAATAACTAGTGACATTTGCAAAAAATTTAACTCCACAAAATTCTCTTTAACCAGATACATTCTTTTACAGATTCGGTTATTACCACATATTCAGCCTCCGTGCTGGATAATGTGATAATAGATTGAAGTTGTAACTTTCATGTGATGCAATTATCACTTAATGTGAAGAAAAAGCAATAGGAGATTTTCTTTGTTCTTTATCACCGACAAAATAGAAGTCTACATACCCCTTTAAAGTGAGCTGATCAGTTCCCTGTTTGGCCCCCATTCTTATTCTCGTTCTTTTTCTCTCTCTTATTTTCAACCACACAATTTTTCATAAAATAATAATACATTCTAATCAAAAACTTTTCATTCTTTTTCAACCACACATTTTTCAAAAAAACACT